AGGTGGACATCAAGGGATCGGCCGTACTTACGATCGGATCCGGGATCCTTTTCACTGGAGAGGATTGTACCGGAGTGTGTAACGATATGTCGGGGAGTGTGTGGATTGCGAAACTGGAAAAGAGCGACCCCGGATTCAGGGCGAATCGCTGGGTAACCTTCAAGCGACTTATCCATTCCAGATCATCGCTATGGATCATATCCCCTGACTGCCCAGCTCCTATAAAGGTAACACTGAACTGTTGATCTTCGAAGATCTCTTCTCCCGATATGTGATTGCCAAAGCGAGCGGATCTAGGACGGCTCAATCTGTGGCAGAATCCTACGAGGAATGTGTGTTCTGCCGATTTTGTGCCAGCGAGATAATCCGCCATGATCGTGAACCCGGGTTTATGCCCGATTTCTTTTGCGCGTTTAGTAAGATCCTGGATCAGCGTCAACGATGGCGTATAGATCTTAGGCGAACGGATCCGCGAAAGGATGGAACGGACTACCACAATAGAACTTAAGATGCATGTCCAAGATCTGGATCATGCGAGATTGGGACGAGTACTCACATTCGCGATCAACACCGCTCAGGATCGGTCCGTGGAGGGACGCCGTTTTACATGGTCCACGACTGGGATCCGAGATCCACACTGGAGGCGGCAATCCCGATGGGAAGTACAAGAAGACAGGGTCGGGATCCACGAAGATGGCGATATCGGATCCAGAGACATTACCAACAGGCTCGAGAACAAGTGAACCAGCGCTTACTGGAGCGATCTCGGAACGAGCGGATCAGCACAACGATATAGTGCGCCCGCCTCAAGTGGAGGTCGGATCCCGGGTATGATTATACTTGGATCGGGTGCAAGAGGGATATGCCAAAAAGCTCGCGCATCTGTGGCATGGCCCTTTCCGTGTGGCCGAGAAGGTCGGCGAGTATGCGGTGAAGTTCGAGATCGCCAGCTCCGCATATAATATCTTCCCCGTGGTCCACGTGTCAAAGATCAAGCTTGTCAGAGAATTTCCGGATCGGCCGGTAATACGTCTTACGATGCAGGATTAAGATCGGCTGAATTTTGACGAAACACTTCACCCTGGAGATACCTGGATTCAGGATCGCGATCCGGACGAGGATGAGGTTGAAATGATCTCGGATATGAGGACTGGCAGGAGGACAAGATATGGTCGGATCCTGCGGAAATTCTTAATACACTGGTGTGATAACGAGGATCCGACCTGGATCGATGAGGCAGATCTCAACTGTGGAGCAATACTCCACGAGTTCTTGCGGGATCGCGCCAATCAGAATCGGTTTGGCGTGATGCAATCTCACGAAGAGGTCTAAGGGTAAGATCCGCATAGGTGCGTTGGTCGCCAATGCGAGAAGTTTAAGATGAAGGATCTGCAGGAAGGCTCCGGATCGGAGGAAGTCACGTACATATCCGGATATATCACAGTGTGTCGAAATCTACAAAGGTCAAGATCCAAGATAATGTGGAGGCGGATCGCGAAGTACGGACTCTGCAAAGAATATATGTGAAACGATCGGTGAAATGACATGAAGAGAGCCATATATTAGCGGAAGGATCACAGATCTGCTAGAGTGTCAGATCCAGCGGGTACTTCAGGATCGGCAGGCGTACTGGAATCTGTGGGCGAGTCGCATCGGGCACCCTCCATGCCAAAAACCTTTTCCACCAGCCGAGGGATCTGATGCGCAGGGCGATCCGCCGCAGAAGTGCGGTAATGGTTTTGCCATGGATCCGCTTCGTTACATTCAGCAAGTGCCTCAATCAAGTTGGCGGGATCCGGCCGACCAGCGTGACGCGCTTCAAGTCCTGGGTACCAAGTTAACGCATCGGATATCTTGGGAACATGAAGGAAGAATGGATCCAGTAGGAGTTCAAGATCACACCAACCTTCCTGCATGGCCAACACGAAGATAGGCAAGATCCTGGGCCAACGATCACCAGTGTGTGATCACCGATTGTTGCGCGCCTTGCAGAGAGCCGCCAGACGTGGATGATCCTCACACATACGCTTGGTGATCGAGAGATTGTGAGTAGACTCCAAGTACACGATGATATCTTGGATCTCCAACTGCAAATATTCTTCTAGGAAGACGCCAAGTCGACCACCCACCAGGATATCGAAACCGATCGGGTCAGGCACATTGCCACCACCGAGGATCTCCCAGGGGGACTTGTCGAGGAGAGCCTCGATGTTATCGGCCGTCATCAGGTACGCGCAGTAATCCGCATCCGAGGGAGTTCGAGATCGCGGCATGTGGTGAGGGTAGATCCACTCAGGCCGAAAAACCAACGCCGTCGCAAGAAGATCCACCGACATCGACATGATCGACCATCGACACAGATCATCCAGTATCCAAGGTTCGATATCAGCAGCCGAAAATACACGGACCTGGGTGCGCCCTGGAATGCATAAATTATCGGCGAGAGAATCCTGTGGAAGCATAGCTGGATTAGGAGGTGGGCGATTACCAGCAGGCTGATCGGCAAGGGGATCTGGAGCATCATTACCGTCGTCGCCAGATCCATCATCGCCCGGATCACCGCCTCCACCACCACCGGTACGACACGGAGAAGCGTGATCACGCCGACGATGCGCGGATCTCTATTGTACAATTGCTCGAAGGGTACCCTCTTCGAACATATAATTCGCAACATCCTCCGTCTCGTGATTGGTGGAGGGAGCAGAACTGCCCGGATCCGTGGTGTCTTCATGATCTTCATCGTTGACTGCAGTGTGATCCTTGGACTCTTCGTCGCCTCCAGTAAGGTCTAAGACCTGCGGCTGAGGGTCATCATCCTGATGCTCTGATGCGGATCCGCCAGCCTTGCGTTTCGACGGCGTATTATCACTGCTCGAGTTACCGGATCCACCGAGTTCCTGAGCGGCATCTAGTGGATCGAACGATGAAGACAAGCTCTCCGGATCTGGATCCTTCCTGCGGTTGTGGCCGCCAGAGTCATCATTGCCTGGGTCATCATCTTGCGGAGATCCACCGCCCATGTCGCTATGGGCAGGTTCCTCCGCCAGATCCTCGTCATCTCCGTCTTCTAGGGGTTGCGATTTGCGCTTATAGGGACGACTGGGACTGGATGAGGAAGACCGGCTACGCGAACGCTTGGAGCTCTTCTTCGAAAGGGGGTCTGATCCGCCAGTGGACGGATCCTTACCATCCCCAAGTGATTTCGACCTTGCTGGCAAAAGGTCGTCCGTAGGTGGAGATTCGGAATCGGGATATTTGGGTGATGCACCTCCGTCATTGTCGCTGGGAGGATCTCGATCCGACTCGGATCCTAGACACAACGAGGTGGTCGGGGACGATAATCCTATAGCGTTGGCGATCTGACCCAGCATGTGAATAGTCCGGAGAAGTTCCTGCCGAAGATCCGTTCGATCTACAGTGAAATGTCGATGTCCGTGGAGAAGGCCTGTATCCGCGCTGTACTTTCAGTGATCGTGCGCCCTCGTTGCCCATAAGCCTCTCCAGCAACGGCTACGTCATGATCTGCACCGAGAAGATATCGTGAGATGACATTGGAGAGATGTACGCAAGATCAAGATATTCACCTCGAGCGGTGACCTCGGCATGGAGGCGATCACGCTCTCCAGTGACTTCTTCGAGTTTCTTCTTGGCCGCAGCTAGTTCGTCACGCTCCTAATCTTGGTCGTCGATGATCTTCTGCATTTTCTGGCTGAGGGATGTGACCTCATCTTGCCGTGTCGTGTTGGGAATCCACGATTGTACCCCTCCCGCCACTCACA